CCTCCTCCTCCTCCTCCTCCTTTTCCTCTTCCTCCTCCTCCTCCTTTTCTTCCTCTTCCTCCTCCTCCTCCTCCTTTTCCTCCTCTTCTTCCTCCTATTCCTCCTCCCTGCAAACCTCCTCTTCCTCTTCCTCCTCCAACTTCTCCTTTTCTTCCTCTTCCTCCTCCTCCTCCTCCTCTTCCTCCTCCTCCTCCTCTTCCTCCTCCTCCTCCTCCTTTTCCTCCTCTTCTTCCTCCTCTTCCTCCTCCCTGCAAACCTCCCTCCCTTCTAGCACCGATGTTGTTACCTAGTTGGGTCATGAAAGGTCTGCGAGAAAACAGCCAAGCTCAGAGAGCATCCGGGGCCTCATAATTCTGATTTTATGGGACAACCGCCTTTATTTGGATGTATTCCTTCTGAGGTCACCTAAGGAATCTCTGAACTTGAATTCCAGCCTGGCGAGGTTCTCCTGAAATGCCATTCGTTTGCAACCTTTTGCCATTACGATCACATTTATTTGCGGGGGGCCCCCTCGCGATTCAGGGTCACCTCTTGGTGTCTTTTCCTTTCGTCTCCTCTTTCCCAGTGGGTTGAAATCGTCCTCTTCGGTTCCAGCAGAAGGGAGTTTGTGGGAGCTTTCAAGAAGAGACTGGACTGGCCACCTGTCAGAAATGGCGCAGGGCCTCCTGCTTGGGCAGGGGGCGGGGTTGGTCTAGATGACCTACACGGCCCCTCCCAGCTCCGATTGTTATCTGTTTATCCTCTGTAGCACCTGATGGTCACGGCGAGCAGATTCACCGTTCAAATCGAGGAGAAGCTGCTCCTGAAACTTCTCAGTTTCTTCGGCTGCAACCAGACAGAATCAGGTACGTTTCTTCCCGCGAAATTCGGTGGATCCTGAAAAACCATTCGGCAAAATGCGGCTTTTTTTTACCCGCCGCTAATCCGGGGCTGTTACTTTCCACCACCACCCCGCCCAAAAAATATTTTTTTAAAAAGAGAACGTCTTACGGCGACGTTCCTTCCAAATGATCTTTCAAAATCCACCTCACTCTTTTTGCTTCCACTTGTGCAGACGGTCCTCGACTTACAATGAGTTCATTTAGTGACCGTTCAAAGTTACAACGGCGCAGAAAAAAGGGGGGGGTGCGGGAATGTTTTTCACGCTTAACGACCGTCGCAGTGTCCCTGCGTTTGCGCGATCCAAATGCAAGGCGCTTGGGCAACTGACTCGTATTTACGACGGTTGCAACATCCCGGGGTGACACTTTTGCGACCTTCTGATGAGCCAAGTTTTAATTTTTTTGGGGGGGGGGGGTAATGCCAGATTTACTTAACGACCGTGTTACTCACTTATCAACTGCAGTGGTTTACTTAACAACCGTAGTAAGAAAGGCTGCAAAACAGGGCAAAATGCACTTAACAACGTTGGCAAGGAAGGCTGTAAAATGGGGAAGGGAGGGGATTCATTTAACGAGTGTCTCACTTAGCAACGGAAATGTTGGGCTCCGTTGCAGCTTAAATAACTTTTTCCTTTTTTCCCTCTCTCTTTTTCTTCCTCTTTTTGTTTTCTTCTTTTTCTTTTTCTTCCTCTTTTTTTTTTTCTTCTTTTTCTTTTTCTTCCTCTTTTCCTTTTCTTCTTTTTCTTTTTCTTCCTCTCTTCTTTGAACCTCCCTTGCAGAGGTTGAAAATTACGACGAAAACCTTCACGAAAAGCCCGCCGGTCAAGAGCCTGCCCGGAAGCGATACTACTTTGAAAACCTCAAAATTAGCATCCCCCAAATAAAACTGAGCGTTTTTACCTCTAGCAAGCTCCCCCTGGATCTGAAGGCAAGACTTTGTGGATGTCTTAAACAATTTTTTTTTGGGGGGGGGGGATGTTGTGTGTGAGTGTGGGTGTGAGTGTGTGTTCATTAAACTTAAGTCCTGTTTAATAAGAGCTCCTGTGGATCATTCTGTACCGAGATTTTATAATTCTACAACCTGTGTCGCCTCGAGGGAAAGGAGTTGGGGCGGATAGATTCAGATCAAGAGGAGTTGGAAGGGACCTTGTAGGTCATTCACAGAAGGAAAGACCTAGCAGGTGACAGGGTTTTTTTTCTCCCCCCCCCCCCCCCGGATATTGTGGCTCAGGCGCTGAAGAGCACCCTGGGCTTCCCTCTTGTCCGTTTCGAAGACGCCGTCATAGATCTGGATCCCTACACCCGGGTTCACCCCTACGAGACCAAGAGCTTCATCGTCAACGACATTCTCAAGCACTTTCAGGAAGTAAGTCGCTCCCAGGGTGCATGGAGGGTTTTTCTTTTGCCCCAGATCTGCTTTGCTTTCCAGTCCTGTAAACATCCGTCTATCCATCCATTCATTTATTCATCCATCCATCCATCCTTCTTTCCATCCATCCATGCATCCATCCATGCATCCATCCATTCATCTATCCATCTATCTGTCCATTCATTCATCCCATCCTTCCATCGATCCATCTATCCATCCATCCTTCCAATCCATCCATTCATCTGTGCATCCTCCCATTCATCCATCCATCCTCCCATTCATCCATCTATCCCTCCATCCTTCTTTCCATCCTCCCATCCGTCCATCCTCCCATCTCCAAGTGATTTCTCTGAACCAGGCCACCCTGGTAAGAGCTTTCTCCTCCATCAGGGAAAGTCCCCCCCACCCCCCGTTTCTTTTGATTCCCCTTCTCACGGGGCGGCCATCCCCGAGCGTTTGTGAGTTCCGCCGGCGAGCTCTGCGTTGCGACGTCCGCCTCGTGTTTCCCCAGGAGCTGCTCAGCCAAGCGGCCAGGATCCTGAGCTCGGTGGACTTCCTGGGTAACCCCATGGGGCTCTTAAACGACGTTTCCGAAGGAGTCACCGGGCTGATCAAATACGGCAACGTCGGCGGACTGATACGGAACGTGGCCCACGGCGTGTCGAACTCCGCAGCAAAGGTAGGCACAGTTCTGACAGAGCTCGCTTAACGACCGTCCGAAGAGAAGGCTACTCGGGGTGCCACGATAGCAGTCTTCCAATCCTTGAAAGGCTGTCCCAGCGAGGAGGGGGGTCCACTTATGAACTGCTGTCGTGACACCCTTAACTAAGTTTTAGTTATTCTCCAAAACACCCAGGCAGGACGAAATAATAGGGGGGAAGTTTACCAAGGAGAGGAATTAAAGAAAACTTTATTGGAATTTAGAACAATTAACCAGTGGAACAGCTTGCCACCAGGAGTTGTGTGAGCTAGAGGTTTTTAAGAAGAGACTGGACAGCCATTTGTCTGAAACGATATAGGATCTCCTGCCTGGACAGGTGGCTGGACTAGAAGACCTCCGAGGTCCCACCTAGCCCTAGGAGTCTATGATTCTAAGAGAGAGAGAGGGTACATGATGGATGGATGGATGGATGGAAGGAAGGAAGGAAGGAAGCTGTGGGTTCTGCATTCACCAGTGCAACTGCTTGCCACTAGAATTTGCAGGTCTTTCCATCACTGGAGGTTTTTAAGAAGGGACTGGACAGCCATGTGTCTCAAATGGGGGTTGGACTAGAAGACCTTCAAATTCCCAGGTCTGTTCTGATTGATCGATCGATCGATTGGTCCGGGGTCTCCTGTTTGAGCAAGGGGGTTGGACTAGAAGACCTCGAAGGTCCTTTCCAACTCTTGTCATTCTGTTAAACTATTGCTCTTTTCCCCCGCAAGGAAGTTGAGCTTGACCAGTCTGACCACGGCTGCAGCTTCTCCGTGGATGCTGTCGGCAAGGAAGGGATGATTAATGATCCCTGTCTGCTTCCCAGATCCTTCTGGTGGATTTTTTTTTAAAAAAGAAAAAAATGCAGACTTTTCTTTCATCCGCGTCTGGCTTGTGCTTTGGGGGTGGGCGGCTGGCAGTCCAAGGTAGACATCAGGAGAGACACAGCCCCCCTTTCCCCCGTCTCCGTTACCTGCTTCTTCAAACCAGGTGGGCCTTTGGGCTCCAAAGCTGCACAAAGCTTGAACTATAATAGCCCCTCTTCTTTTTTTAAAAGAAAAAATAATAATAATAATAATTGCCTGCCAAAAATAAAAAATAATCCTTCTTTATGGGCCGTGTCTGGTTTTGCCATTATACGAATTTTTTTTTTCGCTTGATGATCCCCATAATGGTTTTTCCATGTACCTTTGGAAGCGTGCGGTGGGGGGGGGGGGGGAAATGTCTTCGTTCAAACGCCCAGAGCTGAGGATTGAAGTTGGCACGGAGAACCCAGACCGAGAAAAGTTCACTGCAGTTTGATCCCTGGAGACCAGCTGTCCGTGTGTGCGTGTGCGTCTGTGCGTGCTTGGAAAGGACTTTGATCCTAAATATAGGTCTGGGAGGGAGTTTCCATTACCTCCACCCTGCAGTCTGCCGGCTTTCAGGAAGGAAAGAAGAGAGGAGAGGAGGAAAGGAAGGAGAGAGAGAAAGAAAAAGGAAGGAGAAGAGGAGGAAAGAGGGAAAAAAAGAAAAAGAAAGAAGGGGAAAAAAGGAAGGAAGGAGAGGAAAGGAAGAAAGAGAGAAGGGAAGGAGAAAAGAGAAAGAAAGAAAAAGGGGTAGAGGGTGGGAGGAAGGGAAGAAGGAAGGGAAGTGGGAAGAGAAAGGAAAGGGAGGAAGGGAAAGAATAGAATAGGATACAGAATAGAATAGAGTAGAATAGAATAGAACGAAGAATAGAATTGAATTGAAGAGAAGAGAAGAGAAGAGAATATGGAATCAGAATAGAATAGAATAGAGTAGAATAGAATAGAACGAAGAATAGAATTGAAGAGAAGAGAAGAGAATATGGAATCAAATAGAATAGAATATAATAGAATAGAGTAGAATAGAATAGAACGAAGAATTGAATTGAATAGAAGAGAAGAAAAGAGAAGAGAAGAGAATATGGAATCAAATAGAATAGAATAGAATAGAGTAGAATAGAATAGAACGAAGAATAGAATTGAAGAGAAGAGAAGAGAATATGGCATCAAATAGAATAGAATGAAGAATAGAATAGAATAGAATAGAATACGGTATGGAATAGAAAGATAGGATAGGATAGGATAGGATAGGATAGGACGGAATGCAGCGCTATGCAATGCAGTACCTGCAATGCAATATATAAAATTAAAATGTAAATAAAATACAGCAGCCATGGATCATAACCTCTCAGGAACCCCGAGGAAGAAGAAAGGAGGCTAATCACGATCTCACTCGCTTAGGGTGGAGACCGAGGGTGTCAAAAAGATTTTGGAAACGGACAAAAAAAAAAAACCATATCAACAGGCGAGGCCGCGAAATACCCCCCCAGCGAGCCAGCGAGCGTGGCTTTCATGTTGGACCTGCCGTGTGTTTTTCTTGGGGAGTTTTTGCTTTCTGCTGAGCCAGCTGCAGCTGTAGCCCCCCCGGCCCACCCCCTCGGCCCACTCCCCTTCCATTGAGAAGCGGGGCGGGGGGGCAATCGCGGAGGCCGTCCGGGAACCGAACGTTTCCATCCGAAGAAGCGTGGAGAGGTTAAGGGGCTCGCCGCCATTCACGGCCCAGGGGGGGAAAGGAGGGAATGGGGGGGGGGGGGGGAAAAACACCCTCAATTTTGCAGAATTTCACACACCAGACATTCTACTTCTAGTCTCCCCTGACGGCGGCCGCGCAGTCGGAAATGCCTGTTGCTAAAGCGAGACGCCTTCCACGCAGTGAATTTCAGGCAAAAAAAAAGGGTTGTCCGCAATCTTCTTCTCTTTTAAAATACAAACAAACAAACTTCGGTGTTGCAGCGCTCACAACTGCTGGAGGTGGTGGTGTTGTGCTTCCAGCCACAACCCCACAAAGCTCCCCCCAGTTTTATGAGTCCTGCGCTTGACCCAAGAGGAGGAGGAGGATGAGTTGTGTAACATTGCCCCGTGTTGCTGCTGCTGGTGCTGCTGTGTATTTGTGTGTGTGTGTGTGTGTGTGTGTAGGTGAAAAGTTGCCCCGGTTTGGCTTCCCACCCGCCCCCTCTTCCAAGCCCTCCCGCGCTCCTTCTCTCCCCATTTGTAAATCACCACCAACGCGGACTTTGCACGCTCGGCGAAAGGGAAAAACATTTTTATTTATTCCTTTCGCCTCTGGCCTGGATGTTCTGTGCCGTGTGTGCATACGACAAACAAGCCCTTCAGAAGGGCAAGACTTTGGCAGCACTTCCCGACACCCTTCCCCAAAAGCACAACCTTTTCAGCGGGGACATACCACACACCCACCCACACACCCACACACACACACACACACACACACACACAAATAAATGCAGAGTGAAGGATCAAGCCACAAGGCAGCCGCTGCATCGCCCCCCTGCCCCTTTGCAAGGGTGTTTTGGGGCCGGGTTTTTGTAGGTCGAGGTAGCCGGTTAATTTATTTGGGCCACATCGTCGTGGGAAATTAACTGGAAAAATGGCAATTAATGCTGGCAAGAGTCAACGGGGAAAGGAAAAACCCGCCGACGTTGGCTGGCTGGACGCTGTCAAAGCTGAGCCCAGCCAGAGCAGAGGGAAAAAAACCCTCAAATAGCGCAAGTTCAGGAGGTTTTTTGGGGGGGACGTTTGGCCCGTAGAATTGCCCCAAGGGGGACACAACGGAAGGGATAAAAACAGCATCGTAATAGAACGCCAGAGTTGGAAGGGACCTCGGAGGTCTTCTAGTCCAGCCCTCTGCTCAAGCAGGAGACCCTAGACCATTCCTGACAAATGGAATAAAAATGCAGGGGATCCTCGGCTTACAACAGTTCCCTTAGCGACGGTTCGAAGTTACAACACCCCCGAGAAAAGGAGCAGCCGACCCCGTGGCCTCATGATCAAAATTCGGACGCTTAGCAGCTGACTTGGGTTCATGACGGTCGCGGGGTCACGCAAACCCCCCTCCCCCTCCTCCGGCAGGGGGCCTTAGACCATTTCAATCGATCAATCCAATCCTAATAGATCGGGAAGGGACCTCATAGGTCATCTAGTCCAACCCCCCGCCCAAGCAGGAGACCCGACCCCATTTCCGACAGACGGCAGCCCAGTCTCTTCTTGAAAGCCTCCAGGGGTGAAACTCCCACAACTTCCGAAGGGAACTTCTGTTTCATATTTTATTTATTTATTTTATTTAGGTTTTTTTTCAGTTGCTTACGAGATAATACGTAAAAGTAAAAAGATAGTTGTGAATATATGGATACATCTAAGAAAAATAAAAGAAACAATAAAGCTTCGAGGACAGCTTGGGAAGCGGGAGGCGTCCATGGGACGGGACTCGGGGTCCAGTTGGAGCCAAGATGCTCCCCTAAGGCATCTGGTGCATTGCAATGGGTCTTTCTTGCAAGCTCTTTAGGGGGGTGGGGGGGAAGCCCCCCCAATCCTGCTAGGCTTCACTTCCCCCGCCCACCCCAAAAAGAAAATACGATCCGTCCTGGCTTAATAAAGGCTAACTTGCCCGGGCGTTGAACCCGCCAGCGATTCTCCAGCTGGGGTCATTTCAAGTTCACTCCATGGACTTTTGACAGCCTTGTGTGTCTGTGTGTGTGTCAGTGTGTGTGTGTGTGTGTGTGTGTGTGTGTGTGTGTGTGTGTGTGTGTGCAGGGAAAACAGCCAGCGGCTCCTGCCGGGATCTCTCTCGCATTCAGGCCTGTAACACAAGACGGGGCGCCCCCAGGCACCCGCTGGGCGGCTTTGCCGGAGCTCCTCCTCGGAGGGCAGCGGCCTCCCGCCAGGCCTCTGCCAAGGAGGGGAAGGGGCTGCCCCCCCCCACTCCTCTTCCTGCCGCTTCATTGAGTCCTCGTCTGGGCCGGTTGCTCTTCGCCATTACGACCGTGGGTTTAGTGCGTTCGGGCGTAGTCCTGATGCTGTTCCCTAGTTTGGTCGAGGGGACTTCGGCGGGAAAAGCACCCAGCCCCATAAGCACCAAGGAACCCACAGACTTCCTCCTCCTCCTCCTCTTCGTCCTGAGGATGTTCCCTAGTTGGGTCGTGAAATGTCTGCAAGAAAACCTCCCAGCTCAGACAGCACCAAGGACCCCACAATCCTCCTCCTCCTTCAGAAATTAAACAGAAAGAAGATTGCAGATTGTTAATCAATCCTGGAAGTCTTTATTTGACCCAGTGGCTGGCAAAAAGAGGTGGAGATTAAGAATGTAAAATTTATAATGTTAAAGCAATCATTACCCAGACAACACGATGCTCATTAAGCCCTAAGAAATGTATTTAATAGAAAGCCAATTAAAAAGTTTTTTTTTTTAAAAAAAGACGTGTTTGCAAGGCTCTGGATGAATTGTCCTCCGCCTTTGAGGCAGTTGAGGAGTTTCAAAGATTGGACCAGCAAGCCCTGAATCGTGGCTAACCCTGAATCGTGGCTATTCACGCTGCTTTCGCTAACCCGTCGTCCAAAGCTCGTCCCCTTCTCGTTCTCAGCCAAGGCGTCAGGCCTCCTGCCACCAACCATGTGCCAAAGTTTGGCACGCTCACAAAAAGGGAGCTGCTCGACAATTTTTCCTTTGGCCGGCGGCCGACCCCTGTCTTTTTACTATTATTATTATTATTATTATTATTATTATTATTATTATTATTATTATTTGCATTATTATTTGCATTATTATTTTTTGTATTGTTATTTTTTTCTCTTTCAATCCGAGTTCTGGGCCTTTGGCTGATCCACTCCCGGGAAGCCAGTCGATTCCCCAGATCTGTCGGGAGGAGGGAGAAAAAGTAGTCTGAGTGATCAGGTTATAGCCAGGAAGTGGGAAAATGCCCAGGTCTGTTGGGAAAAGATCTGGAGGTTGCAAGCTTCAAACAGGAAGCCCTGGGCTTACGACCATTCGTTCAGTGTCCGTTTGAAGTTAAAGCAGTACTGAAAAAATACCCCTATATGTGTGTCATGTCTGTATCTGTCAATCTATCATCTACCTACCTGTATTCTATATCTCTTATTATATATCTACCTACCTATCATCTATTTCTATATCTTCTATATCTATCAATCTATCTATCTCCATCCATCCATCCTTCTTATCTATATAGATAGATAGCAGGGATCGGAATTTATTTTGGATATGTGTCATCCTGTACACAGAAAAGCGACAAAGGAGGTTATCTTCCCTTCAACGTACAGGAGTACCAGTACTTAGGATGTAATTATTTAGCTACGTGTAGGATCGTTACGTTCTGGACAATTAATATCCTGAATTAATCCAGACAATTAATATCTGTCCTTTTTCTTGTTCTCATCTTGATGACAGTTTACAGGAACTTTGTCTGACGGCCTGGGAAAGACCATGGATAACCGGCATCAGACGGAGCGGGAATACATTCGATACCACGCGGCAACCAGCGGTGAACATCTCGTGGCCGGCATCCAAGGCCTGGCTCACGGTAAATCCGTGTAAATCAAACTGCCGAGTTTGATGACCCCTGGATTGGACAAACATTTGACTGAAATGATGTAGGGTTTCCGGCAGGGGGGTGGACTAGGAGACCTCTAATAACTCTGTTATTCTATTCTATATTCTGTATTATTCTATTCTGTGTTCTGTTCTAATTCTATTCTATTCTTATTCTACTCCACCCTACTCTATTCTAATTCTATTCTATTCTACATTCTATTCTGTTC